CAATTGTCCTCCCCACAACTGCCCTTCTGAGCTCTTGTGAAGTCAAGCCTGTGGCTTCCTTTAGGCAATCAATCCATCTATTCTAACTTATGGCAGAGTCAGGTTTTTTAGCTCAGTGGTTCTCAAACTGGGGGTCCCCGCATGTTCTTGGACTGCAGAAGCCTTCACTCCTTGCTGTGCTGGCCAGGATTTCTGGGAGTTGCAGTCCAAGAACATCTGGGGGACCCCAGGAATGAGAACCCCTGTTCTGGCTGTAAAGTACTTAGATGTGTTTTCCTTCTAGGGCTGCTGTGGGACGGCCACGCGGCTTGCCCGGGGCTACACGGGTGGAAGGGCATGGAACTACATTAGCGACACATGCTCTGGATGATCTCAGCTGGCCTCTCTTCCCAGACATGACACGAGGTGGAAACTCTCAGGCCTGGCCCCTGGCTCAACAGTCAAGCACTATAACCCAGGGAGCAGTAATCTCCAATCTCTATTATGTTGCATTCTCCAAAATCCATCTTCTTCCCACCCTTGTTTTGTATCAGGTTTTGCACATTGACCCTCTTCCCTTCCAAGCTTACACACATGGAACATATATTTTTTTTTCTGCATGCCATTTTATGCACTTTTTCCTGTTGACTCAAACTTTTTGTGGCATGCTTTTCAAAGATGTGCATGTCTGCTTGGGCACCTCTTTAAAGGGTATGATTTTTAAAAGGAGAAGCAAAAACCTAGAATCTAATGCTTATGATTGCTTCTTGATAAATGAAACATACACGCCTGCTGTTATTAATGGTTTCACAGGCTGTCAGTTTGACAAATTCATTTCTGAAACTTGGGTTCATGTGGATTTCTTTCCTGCTCCTGGCGTCACCCTCTCTGGATCTGGGCCGCATGAAGGACTGGCCCTAGAAAGAAAAGCAAGGAGATTCAAAGAGGTTCAGGGTCCCCTCTGGGTGATGGGTCCAGAGGTCTCCTGCCTTGGGCAAGGGGGTGGGCTAGAAGACCTCGAAGATCCCTTCCAACCCTACGATGATACTACAATGAGACCAGCAGGAGAGAGCCCTTTGTCGTCAAGAATCCCATGGCACCGCTCTGTCTTTAATACCCTCCTCATTAGGCTCATTGGAAAGGGCAGCAGTGGGCAGCTGTGAGCCGCCATTTTACCTTTCCCACAATGCCCTGAATCAATGTTGCCAACAGGGGCGTTACGGGAAAGCTTAACAATGTCAGGGCAGGTGTCTGGGATCGTAAGCGCAGCTGGGAGGAGGAGGGCCTTGGAAAGCAGACCCAAGATTTGGGTGGCCATTTGTTCTCTTTTAGGGTGGCCAGTTCTCTGTTTGATCATCCTCCTTTTGAAGGGACCCTCCATTAGAAGGACGGTCCAGTACAGAGATGATCTTCACTTGAACGGAAGAGTCCACAGACGCACAGACCACTTGAGCTCAGCCTTCCCCACATGGGTGAGATGCAGTGCAGTGGGACCCCCTTATTCACGGGATCAGTATCTGCTGATTAACATCCACAGTCTAAAAATATTAAAATATATGGATGGATGCATGCATACATGCATGGATGCATGTATTTATGTATGTAATGATGAAATAACTAGAACTGGCTACTAAAGGGAGCCAGAGGCCATGTTGTGTGTAAAGGTAATGGTTAAGGTTCCCCTTGACATTTAGTCCAGTCGTGTCCAACTCTAGGGCGCGGTGCTCATCCCCATCTCCAAGCCGTAGAGCCAGCATTTGTCCATAGACAGTTTCCGTGGTCACGTGGCTAGCATGACTAGACACGGAACGCTGTTTACCTTCCCACCATGGTGGTACCTATTTATCTACTCGCATTTTTACAGGCTTTCAAATGGCTAGGTTAGCAAGAGCTGGGACAAGTGACAGGAGCTCACTCCGTCACGTGGATTCGATCTTACGACTGCTGGTCTTCTGACCTTGCAGCATAGAGGCTTCTGCGACTGGCCACTAGTTGGAGTCAGAGACCATGCTACATATAATGTTCACTTTTAAAATAGTGTTCCATGTTTTTCAGCATCCATAGGGGGAGGGTGCTTGGAACCAACCCCCCGTGGATATGGGAGTCCTGTTGTGTCATTCTGTTTAAATTCTATCATTTCAAATATTGCATTTCACCGTATACGCACTTCCATGTTAAGGCGTGTCCTTCCTTTCTAGAGGTGTCTTTTGCGCCCGCCCTAACCAAGGATGTCAGAAACATCTGTGAAGACTGCTTTATGAGGTTGAGACAAAATAGCCGAGGAGTTTGCGGCTGAAAACCCAGGAGCCATAGGAAAAGGGGAGCAGAAATTTTCTTAGTTTGATAGAAGAGGAGAAGACTTGAAGGGAAACAAAGAGAGACTGAGGAAGAGAGAGATTACAAAAGTGTTCTGGAACCGAGTTCCAGACGTCTCTGAAATTCAAGTCTGTTGATAAACAAAACGCCCTTGCCATAGAACATGTTCATGCCGACCGCGGCACGAGACTCTCAAAGATTCTGGCTGCGTCCCTGCCTCATATTCCAAAATTAAAATCAGCCTCGTGTGGGTGTGGGTGTGAGAGAGAGAGGAATGGGATGAAGGAGGGAGAAGACTTTTTCTCTTTTATTATTATTAGAGACCCGCATTCCCGACAACTCCCTGGGCTGTCGAAGGGGGTTGCCATCTGCAAAAGCTGGTGCCCAGTGGAATACGTTCATCCTCTATCATGACCCAGGATGTCTCATACTTTTAGCTATAAAAGGTTTACACAGCAAACATGTTACTTTGGGGAATTAGAACTAGAGATGGGATATTCGTCTTCGTGTGTGGATACAAATATCCCGGACCCAAGTGGCCGGGATCCCCAGTCCCGCCTCCCCAAACCAGTATGTATGCTGTTGCCTAATATGGCTGTGTTTTGTAGCTATGATGGTGTGATTTCTGAGATCTGCAACCGCTTGTAATATTGTGTGAAATTTCTTGATGTTGGTCCCAAAGCCCCGATGACTATGGGGAACATTGAGGTGTTTTCCATCCACAAGCGAGATGTTTCGATGGCCAAGTCTCTGTACCTTGTTAGTTTGTTTCCAATTCTTTATTTTCAACTCTGGCATTCCCTGGAATGTCAATGTCAATGATCCAGACATTTCCTCGTTCTATGACTACAATGTCTGGTGTGTTCCGTTCAAGGTTAAGATCCACAAATCCTACAAGATCTTCACCTCATCGTCATCGTCATCATCATCATTATTGGTCCAGGCACCACTTCCCACCCAGCCTATACGTCTCCCAGACTGCACCAGCCCCTCCCAGTCACTTCCGATTTTACCAGCAAGCCTTGTTCCTCTATAAATCAGAACAGACAATAAAGAGTAGAGCTGGGTGGGGGTTGAGTCAGTGGTAGCTCAGCATCTGCTTTTACGCATGGAAGATTCCAAGTTTAGAAAACCAGAGCTGGAAGCATCCTTCGTAATCATCAATCAAGACAAGGGGAGGCAGCATGTAGTCCTTAGGTGACAAGATTGTTTCTGGCATCACTCTTCCTTGGTCTCCTCTTTTTCCAGCAAAATAAGGAATGACCAACCATTCCTGGAAGCCTCCGGGAGAGACGGGTGGTCTTGTAAATACCCAAAATACTCATTTAAACCACGCAAAATACTCATTTCAGAGGAGGGCAGCCAGGATGGTTAGGGGACTCGAAACCAAGCCCTAGGAGGAAAGACTGAAAGAACTGGGCCTGTTCAGCCTTGAGAAAAGAACACTGAGGGGTGATGTGATAGCACGTTTCATACACTTGAACGGCTGTCATACAGAGGAGGGGAAGGATCTGTTCTCGGTCTTCCCAGACTGCAGGACACGTAATAATGGGCTCAAGCGACAGGAAGCCAGACTTCAGCTGAATATCTGGGAAAACCTCTTAACTGTTAGAGCAGTATGACAAGGGAACCCATGACTTCAAGAGGGAGTGAATGCTCCAATGCTGGAGGCATTCAAGAGAAAATTTAGACAACCACCTGGCAGATACCCTTTGATTTGGTTTCCTGCCTTGAGCAGGGGGGTTGGACTTGATGGCCTCAGAGGCCCCTTCCAACCGTCTTCACCACTAGCTGTGCCGGCCAGGATTTCTGGGAATTCTAGTCCGAGAATATTTGGGAACCCAATCTTGGGAACCAATCTTGTACTGAGTGTGATGCATACCTAGTCTCTCCCAATCTGGGGTACCGCCTGCCATTATGTTAGTTCTTCTCTTAAGAGCTCCATGTTCAGGTAGCGAGCACTTTATCTTTGTTTGGGTTGTTTTTAATCCTGCCCACCCCCCACGCCGTTCTTGTCTTTAGGATTTTGGTGGTTTCATACCCACCAAACTCCAATGCTCCTCTCCGAGCTGTTTTCCAGTCCCTTGGAAAGCGCCTGTTATTTACCCATAATACAAATTAACACCGCAGTCACGGAGTGTCATGATTCATCTAAAATTAAAAGACACTGGGGCTGACTCAGAAAGTTATTCTTAGTGTCCCCTTGGGCAGTAGCCATCCTGGCTCACTGGGAGTCCACGGGGGCCACCTGCTGGCAGAAAAGAGTCAGTGGCCCATTTGGGAAGCAGAGAGGACGGACCATCGCTGCCTGTCGTGTTTCGTCTCACCAAGTTCTGTAAAACTCGGCAGTTCTCTGAGGCACTCTTTTATGCAGGAGTAAAGTTATGGCTCCTTGAATGGCGTTCTTCTCATTCATGATTTCTTGATCTTTATTCTCCTTGCCCGGTTGAATTGGTCACCCTCTGGATCCAAGAGATGCTTGCAATGCATCCCATCTTTCACATTCTTCTACCTTGCTTTTTTTAAATGGTCACCTGTCTATGATTTCATGCCATACACCAGGCCAAGAAAACACAGCAGGGCGTGTTCTCAAAACTAGCTTTAAATTTTGCTTTGCAGAGTACAGAGGTTGCCACCAGGAGAGGAAATGGGGAAGGTGGTTTGACCCAACCATCTCATTCTTACATTCTTCTCTGTTTCTTCAGGTTCCTTCTTTCCTTCCGTGAAACCTGAGGGGATGCTCTTCAAGATCATCTTCTGGCTGGGGTACTTCAACAGCTGCGTGAACCCCATCATCTACCCTTGCTCGAGCAAAGAGTTCAAGAGAGCTTTCATCCGTCTCCTGAAATGCCAGTGCCGCCGAAGGAGGAGACCCATCTGGAGGGTGTACGGCAACCACTGGCGAGGGGCCTCCATCAACGGCTCCACCCTCAATTCTGAGAGGGAGTCCCGGTCGAGGGTCTCCACGATCAACGGGTCGTTTATATTGAACTCCAGCGGCCTGGATATGGCCTCCGGTAGCAAGAGGAGAACTCTGAACTTGAAGAGGTGGAGAATATTCTCTCCGTTCCAAAAACCAACCACGCAGTTAAAAGAAAAAATGAACAGCCTCTCAAATAAGATCCGGGGAGGGTCCGTCAAAGGGGGAGCAGCGGCCTCGTACGAGACGGAGGTGGAGTCTGTCTCCATAGGGATACCTAATGAGTTCATGGAGTGTATTGATTATCCGATGTACGATGACTTAACAGACTCTGATTCCTGTGGGCTTAAAGAAACAGACATTTAATGCCAATGTGGATAACAACAACCCTTTGGGGGCCCTTTTCGTTTTTGTCTCTGTCTTAGCGTGTGGTTGGCTATCAAGGGTGGATGCAGTCCATATGTGAGATGGGTAGGCTGCCTAAGGTCAACAAAGGCCATCGTTCAGTGACAGAACCTCTGGTTGTCACTCAGAAGACCTCATGGGCAAGCCCCAGCATCTCTAGTCAATGGAGGGTAACTGGTACCAAGATTGGGCAGGTACCTCCCTTTGCCTGAGACTTCTGAAACTATGTAAGATTCAGGGTAGACAGTGCTGAGCTAGGGGGACCGACTGTCTGACATGGTATGAACCAGCTTCTTGCATTCCATTGGGTTCAGTGAGTACAGCATCCTGAATTCCCGGGTGGGTCAATGAAGAGAAGGTGGCCAGAGTAGAGAGTGAAGGAATGAGGAAGACTTGATGCGCTATAGTGGGTGTCTTGATGCCAATGGCAAATGTTCCTGTCGAACAGGTGGCACTAAGAAAATGCCAAGCGTGTGTACCAAAACGTTCAGAAATAAATTGTGCCATTTCATAGAAAGGTTTCGCTTAAACTCACCCAGGAGTCATGCTTTATTTTGAACTTGGTTAAAAAAAAAAAACTAGAATGACTTGGTTCTTGATCCTCTTCTGGCTTTGAGGCCACAGGGTAGTGCCAGGAAGGCACAGAGAAACAATTAAGAGAGTTTGAATGAGGCTCGTCAGCCTTATAGAATGATAAAAATTAGAATTTAATGTGGCATCTCCATTTGATTCTTTGTTTGTTTGTTATTGTTGTTTTGATGGAGCAACCAGGACTGATATGGGATACTTCAAGAGATAGTCCCACTTGCCAACAGCAGCGACCCTTCCTTTTTTGGGGTGGAAGGTCTCTCAATGTTTTGAAAATCCAAATGTTACTGTCATGGACAGTTTCCTTTTGTTCCAACCTTGGAAAAACAAAAATCCATTGAAAGAAGGACTAAAACATTCTTCCACTCAGGTGCCATCAAGCCGACAGCCTTGTCCTCATTCGGGCTAGGGGAGGCGCCCAAGTCATCCGCACGGAGGAAAGCTCAGTAGAAACAGGTACACACATCACAAAGAGAATGCAGAGACACCTCAATGACCTCACAACCCCGTAGGAGTTCTAAGCTACCCAGTGTTTGCAATTGATTCAGGCAATGTGATAAATTTCCCTTTACCACTGTGATAAATGCTACAGACAGCTGGCTCTCTATATGGCTTGCTCATGGTCGCAGTCTTTCCCAGCCTTGGGTCTCCAGAGGTTCTTGGACTACAACTCCCAGAGGCCTTCACCATAAGCTGCGCTGGCCAGGATTTCTGGGAACTGTAGTCTAAGAACATCTGGGGACCCAAGGTTGGGAACCGCCAGTATATGAGGTCCTGTGTGCTCACTCTATATCCCATTTATCATGAAATCCTACCTCCTTGTTCCAGCACGGACAGACAAAATTCACTTGGTGGAGAGATGGATACATTCTGCATTTGCACAGGGCCGTTTCCCTGGGGCTCAGACTCTCAGCCTTCAAAAAGGGGGTCTCAGGAACAAGGCTGACTCTGCGATTAACTTTTTAGTAGCAGATCTCGAGAGAAAGCTAGATCTCGGGAAACTCTAGATTCTAGTCCGAATTTTAGCTTGGGCTAAACCCCAGACCATATTTCCCAGCTGCAGACCAGGTTATGGTCCAAAGTTGAAAGGAGCCATCTAGTTCCTGTGAAGTTTGGACTAAAAGCCACAGTGTACTCTCTGTCCCTGTGGCATCAGAGTCACCCAGCATCCTCCGCTGATTCCACTTCTTCTTAGAAGAAGCCACCCTGTGCAGGACCGCTTGCCACGAGCCCTTGAAAAATGGGGTGAGGAGAAAAAATGTCCCCACTGTTGAGGCTCAAGTACCTGAAATTGCAGTGAAGCCACTTGTTCAGTTATGCAGAAAGCATAACTGCACCAGCATTCTGGTTTTTTATAACAATAACAATAACAATAACAATAACAATAACAATAACAATAACAATAACAATAACAATAACAACAACAACAACAACAACAACAACAACAACAACAACAACAACAACAACAACAACAACAACAACAACAACAACAACAACAACAACAACAACAACAACAACTCAACGGTGGCCCTGTATTGAGGCTACAGATCAGAGTTGGAAAATATGGCTTAGCTAAATGAGAAACAGGGGCAACTGCAAGAAGTCAAGGCCATTCTGTCCTGGGAAAAGCAAAATTCTGAAACCTGTATATAATGAGAAAATGGACATCCTTTTTGCACATTTTGTACAATGAAGAGAGAGAAAGCTTTGCAGGCATCAGATTCCCATCCCTCCCTGACTGAGGGAAATCTTATTTAATCCCCGCTCTTCTCCATTTGCCAGCACGATTTTCAGGTGAATCTTTGTGGCCGTCAAGACTGGAGTGCTTGTTCTTTTTAGCAAAAGCTGAGGTCCTCGGGAAGCTTAATTTTTATGGCCATTACCCAGATTCTCTGTTTGTCCAACACCGTCATCGTGGGGTAAACGCATCCCTTCCCACTTAACAAAGGGATTTAGAAAAAACAGAGGGAAGCAAATAAATCCGACACTGAAATTATTTGCAAGCACTATCTCTTTGCAACAACCTTTGAGCTCGGTTCACACATATTTGAACAATGTATTTTAGACCCAGTCCATGTTATCAAGATCAGAACTGACACCAGCCAGGAGGGGGATCCTGGACAGTGTACCTTCCAGTGAACCTCCCTCCACCTCTATTGGTTTGCTTATTAAATTTCTTCCCTTTCATCATTCCTTGCATTCTTCCTTCCTTCTTGTGTTTTTACTGAAGAGGCAGGCATGGTGTGTCAAAAAACATCAGCCAAGGACAGGGATAGTGCCTGCCAACTCCCCGCCCCACCCCTCCCATCCTCATCTGTGCTGTGCTTCGCATGTAAGTGTATTCACCAACCTAGGATAAAAGCAAGAAGGAATAATTGAATGACGGAACTGTCGAATAGGAAGAGATCGGAACGATCATCTGGCCCATCTCTCTGCCAACGCAAGAAAGTTACATCTAGAGCACCCCAAATGGAAGGCCAACCAGCCTCCATTTCCAACAGGGCAGAATCCACCATCTTCTAAGGCAGTTCCCTCCTTCTGCCAAAGAACATCTGTCAACAGGACGTTCTTCCTAATATTTACTCAGAATGTGATTTCTTGCACTACAAATCCCATAGTTCATAGAATCACGGAATAACGGAGTTGTGAGGGGCCTATACAGCCATCGAGTCCAACCCACCGCTCAAGAGAGGAATCCAAATCAAAGCAGATCGGACGGATCTACCCGGAGTTCTACCTGAGGGACAGACACCTTAAAGACACCTAAATACAGCTCACTTGAGAGAAAGGCTTTAAGACTCAGTTTGACCTAGCTCTACCTAGTTTCCTGTTTGGAAAGAAAGCTCCCAGCTAGCACTGGAGTAGGAAAAGGAGTTAGGGTGGAGCAAGGCCCAGATAAACCTCAAAGCTTTCTCTCAGGCGAGCCACGTTTAGGTGTTGGTCTGTCAGGCAGAGCAGCCAGAATCAAGAATCGTGGGATTTGTCATTCAAGAAATCCAAAAATGCAATCCCTAGACTCTGTCTTGTAATTTGAATCCACTGCATCGTGTCCTACGTTTTGAAGCTGCAGAAAATGAGCTTTCTCCATTCGTCATGTAAAAGAAAAAAGGGAGGGGATGGAAATCAAATTAAATGGAAAGCATGCCTCTGAGGCACCTAATTGTCCCACCTTTCTTTGGAAAAGACCCTCTAACTCCTGGAAATACTTTTTCTAAAGGAGCTCATTGCATTAGTCATTACTTTGAGATAAGCTGGGCAGTCCTTAAGGCTTGATGTTTTCATTCATGAAAAGAATTTGTTGCATTTTATATTTCTAATGGGTTGCGTTGTCCTGACCAGCAAGCAAGAAAGATACAAGGAAATACTTCCTAGTTGTCTCTAATAGCCAATCTTGATGTTGCACTGTGAAAATACAAACACACACACACACACACAAAATCAAGGCAGTGCTAGATTGAGAGAAGGTTGGCATAAAATTGAGAAGTTCTGCCAAGAAACCCCTACAAATGTCTTAGAATGGTCTTTCGAAGGAACTTTGAAACTAACTAGAAAAATTATTCATTACACCAGAAAGTAACATTTAACTGCTTCTTAAAAATTACTTTTTGAAAGTTATGGTACCAGTGTCTGAAAAAGTAACGCCTTGCGTTTGATGCTGTCACTTGTAGCTACAGTAGTTACTTTAAATCTGTGTGACAAGATGAAGGAAAGGAAAGAAAGGGAGGAAGGAAGAAAGAAAGAATATTATGTTCTGTTACTATTTTGCATTGCAGTCAAAGCATGAGGCGACTAAATGAATTACAGGAGGCTGTTCTGCTGTTTATCAAAATATTTTCCCCACAGGCAGCCAATAACATCAAGCAAAACCGGTCATGACTGAACTGGCACAACCCCATCTGGTCCACCGTTCCTGCATGTGTTTTAGAGATAACAGGCAGTTCCGCCAAATAATACTCAGAAACAAACAGCCAGAAAGTCAGTTAAAAACCTCGGAACCCCAAATTTATAAAGTCAACAGCAGAATTCTCAAGGGCGCGTCTTGATGGAAAATGTATTTTTCCCCCCTTCTCTTGTTTATTTGGGCTTGGACGGAGACCAACGAATCAAGCCCTATAGCAACTCCAAATCAAACCCAGAGACTGAAAATAGCATCAGAGGACGTTGAACGTTGCCTTTAGATGTTTTCACAGGCAACGTTTTTGACTGGCTGTCAAAATCCCCCTGGCGTGTGTTCAAAAGTCCTCTTGAAGTCAGTGGGAAGGCCTGGGTGAGGAGAATATTCTGTTTCATGGTTCATTTTGTGGATTTCCGCCAACTGAGGGTCAACATGGACAGGATCCAGGCAACACACTGGCTAGTGTGTATGATGCTTCGTGGACCCTGAAGTAATTGTTGGGACAACGAGACAGTTAATATTCTTTATTCTCTCTCTCTCTCTCTCTCTCTCTTTAAGCCGTTTTGGTTTGGCTGGAAATACTTCTTTAGAAACGTCAAAGGTTTCAGATACTCAAAGGCACTTCAGAGGGTTCTGTTGTAAACCTAAGGATGCCATCTTGTGATGTAGCCAATCGGGCTATGCCCTTGTGTTACTGAAGGGTGAGGAAAGGCACAGTCCTGGATTAGTGACATGTTACCTTCTGAAGCATCTTGGGAACGTATCACAAGAAGCAGGCAAGTCTACCTTCTCCATCAAAGCCAGCCCTAAGGTAGCATCTCTCTGTCACACCTGGCGTCTTCATAGATGACTGGGGCACCATCCCTACCATCAGGCAGAGAGAGGCAATTGTCACAGGCAGCAGGTATTCTGAGGCACCAAAAAACAAAACATGGTTGGAAGGTGACCCACAGCCTGCCCTGCACCTCCTAAGCTAGCCTGCCGTGAAGAACACAATCCCATTACCGTTATTTGAGAAAGATTCAACTGCTGGTCCTGTCGGGTTGCCTTCACGAGAAAGGAGGTGACTCGCTCTTCTCCCGTGCCTCTGACAGCAGCCTTTCTTTGTCAGACACGGAACATGAACTATGAAGTCCCAAATCTTTGGTACCAAGTCTCAAGTCCCAAGTCCCTACGGAAAACAAGCTTTCTTCCCCAGGAAAAAAAAGGGGGGGACGGTTGGGTGGGTTCCGAGTTTCCTGAATCAAATAATGCCACAGGATGCTGGCCAGTGCTTCCAAGCTCCAACAGCATCCTACTTGGAAACTGTGCCATCCCTAGACAAAGCCAAGTGCCCCGTGGCCCATTTATGACCAAAAGCTAGGATGCCAGGCTTCCATCTCATGGGAAAGAGGAGTCTGCAGGCATGCAAAGATGTGGGCAAGGAGAGATCTGGGTCATGTTTTCTTGGTGATCTTTCCTCAACTCCACCTTTTCAGTCATGTCAATAAGCATTGGTTACCAGACCCAACAGATGCCTCTGTTGTCCTGGATGCTCTCTAAACACGGATAACCTGAAAGGAAACAGATTTATTGGAGCAAGAGTTCCCAGATGTTCTTGGACCAAAACTTCAGAAGCCTTCCCCACCAGCTGTGCTGGCCAGGGTTTCTGGGAGTTGCAGTCCCAGAACGCCTGGGTGACCCAAGGTTGGGAACCACCAATCTAGAGAAATTAAAAAATATCCCCGTCTGTTCCTCTTCTGTGGCCAGAGCATAGACATCTTTTTTTTTATTTTACTGCTACT